ACCCTGTGGGAGCGTACTGGCCGATGGGAGGTAATCTGTGGCAGAAGGCGGTCTCGAAGGTATCCTGGTCCGCTGCCATGGAGCGCCTTAAAGATGATAGTCAGTACCTTGAAGCGCACCCGGAAGGCCACCGGCAGCCAATGCAGCTCGCGCAGCAGCGGTGTTACGTGGGAGCGACGAGTCCCTCCCAACACCGCCCTGTTTCAGAGAATATCTTGGGGAGAAATCCTTTCTTTTCTAAGGTGATTAAAATCTGAATATGTTCTTTGCTTCCTAAACAGTCTTTCTTGGTGGGTATAGTAGTTCCTGATGAAGAAACACTTCCAGCATTTGCAGAAAACCTGGGAGTAAAAGGTTCATTTGAAGAACTCTGCAAAAATTCAGTAAGTGGACATACATTTTACTTTATAAAGAATATAGTCAGTCAGTGTTAGTTATTCAGGTTTACATGTCACACTGAGCTAAAATATGGTTTATTTGATTTTGGATGAACATATTATAAAGACATCCACTGTAGTTTAGAAAATATAGTTCAGTGGTTTCAACAGGAAACTATCATTGAACAATTCATGCTTTAGCATAATCTATAAAATGTGTCAGTATACACAATGGGAGAAAATGAGTGTCCTGAAATATCATTACTTATCAAATCATCACAGCAAGAACCACTTATGACTTTTGCATTTATTTATGCCATAAAAATTGTCTAGTTGCCAGATTGAATTTAAACAAGGTAACTAGATATGGAAGAAAAATGGTTGTCCAATAGAACAGTGATCCTAAACCAAGATTTAGCATTCCAAACTGGCATTACAGAATGAACTGAGAGTTTATGCACAGTTTACTTATTGATATCACCTTGCATTTTTTTTATATTAACATTTGCACTTTGAGAAGCATTATAATTTCCATGGTGTTGTTCAGCACAAAAGTGATAAGTTTGTTGGGTATTAATCTGAAACTAGGAACTTGCATTGTATGTAGCTCATAATAGGCCAGAGGTACCTTGTGGAAATTGTAGTTTAGGACTATAATAACCAGTAACCTGAACGAATTATTTAATTACAGGTAGTCCTTGATTTAAGATTACAATTGGGATTAAAATTTACTAAACAAGGCACTTGATTAAGTGAATCGTGCCTGATTTTATGACCTTTTTGCCACAGTTAAGTGAATCACTGCAGTTGTTAAGAGAATCATGTGGTTGTTAAGTGAATCTGGCTTCCCTCATTTACTTTGTTTTTAGAAGCCAGCTGTGAAGGTGGCAATCACATGGCCCTGAGATGTCGCAACTGTCATAAATACATACTGATTGCCAAGTGCCCAAAGTTTGATCACATGATCGTAGGAATACAGCAATGCTTGTAAATGCAAGAACTGGTTGCAAGTCACTTTTTCAATGCTATTGTTATCTGAATAGTCCTAAACAAATGATTGTTAAATTGAGGATTATCTGTATGTTTTGCATTGTACAAGTTGATAGTTCTTGATAGCTCCGATATGAAGAAACAAAATGATGTCTCTTAATTGAGAAAAGCACATCTCTTTGGTGTAAACCAAATTCATCTTAATGGATTAAGGTATGAGAGAAAAAATTTCCATGAACATGTTGACTAGGTAGAATTAATTTATAGAAGTAATTTTAATGACATTTCTTAGCAATTATCCTACAAACCCTTCAAAATAGAAAGTTTGAATTGAAAGTTTAAATTCCTTAATTGTTACACTACGCAGAAAGACTAATCAGGTTTACTATTTGGTTTTTTTGTTTGTTTCAAATGTCATTATTTTCAGTCTACACTTGACTTACACTTCAAAAAGCAGTGTTATCTACATTTAGGTTAATATTATTATTATTTTTTAAATGGCAAACTGTTAAGAGTTAAACTCCATTTTTGTTTCAAGGTAGTGAAAAATGCTGTATTGATGGACATGAACAAATGGGGGAAAGAAGCTGGGCTTAAGACCTTTGAACAAGTAAGTAATTATCTAGGAAATTGCTGAAGATAATGGTTTTGTAAGAAATTCAAAAAGAAAATATTGCTTTCTCTATATTAAATTTCAATCCCCATTATGATGAACACCCAAAAGTTGTGCTCTCCCTAAATTCCCATTCTACTTTGCTGTCCTGAGATTTGATATACAAGATGAAGATTTGTATATTCATTTTATTCATGTTTAAAATATGCTTGATTTCATAAACAGAAAAGTGCTATACCTAATTTGGAACGGACTTAATAATACCAGGGTATGTTTGCTGATCATAACCCTTCACACATATTATGATTCCTAGAGTTCTAATGAGCTCAAATCTTTTACAATGGGTTTCCAAAAGACTTCAGAATTAACAATGGCATATTTCTGATATTCTGACACACATAGATGGCACACAGTTAATACAATAACTGTTTTAGAGGATTTCATTCCCTATATTATTCCAGTTAGAGATAGGCCTTGAACCTCAATTATAAGTATAAATTCAGTGGAAGATAACTATTCCATAAATATGAAAATGAAATAAGGATGCTGTAGACTGTCTCCTCAGTTATGCTATTCTTTAACATTTGTCAGTAAAATGGTAACTGCCTTCATGGTACCATAGTTATGTGTCAAACATTTTTGATTATGACAAAATATTTTCTCCACCAGGTGAAATACATCTATCTTCATCCAGAACTATTTACAGTTGAAAATGGACTCTTAACCCCAACACTGAAGTCAAGAAGAACAGATCTTGTCAAACGCTTCAGGAGTCAAATTGATGCTCTTTATGCTTCTGACATGTAAAAGAATGAAGGCCACCTTGACTGAATATATTGACAGTGGATTATGAAAGTGCCTAACTGGCAAAGGAAACTGCTAAAAGAGACCAATAAACATGGTATATGTGTAGGTGGTTAAAGAATCCCATTTAGAGTTACATGCCCAGACATGTAACAGACTGCACTGGCTTCAATTATTTAAAACCACTGGGGAAAGTACATTTTCCTTTATTGTATAACCCTAACTGAAACTGAAAAGTGTTAAATTGATTAAAAACATATTAAAAAACTGAGCTTATGGGAAAACATTGAACTCTATCAGACTATTAAGAGAACATAATGACATTGTACTCGTTTGATTGAGTTGTTATGGCAATACACTAGCTATTAACTACATAAGAAGGATAATGTAATATATAATGTTTTGGGGACTCTATCATATCTTAAAAACTGTAAAATATACTTCATGTACGTATAGGATGTATCACCCATAGATGAGCACTTAAATATATTAGCATCAATTGTATATATATTTTAAAATGGTATATCCAATTCCACTAAAGCACAAAATGACTATCTGTTAACTGAAACTTGAATATGAAAAATAAAAATCTAGTAAAAGAACATATCCTAAAAATATTTGTCAATTTATCTATATACAAAGGTATTTGGAATATCCAAAAATGCTGAATTCGTGGTTAATTTTAGTTTTACAGTGGGTTGGCTCTGTAGCCAAACAAACCACATGATATAATGACCTAAAATAGAAATAAAATAACCCCTAAAATAATAAAAACAATTTTTTCTCTGAACACAACTAATTTGATTTCATTGGAGCCTAGATAGAATAAGTAACTATACTGTTTGCTTTTAATAATTAAACATTTCTTTATTTAAGCTTATTTTTAATTTTGACAGGTTCAGAATTATTTTCAATTTCTGAAATGTCATAATTCTAATTTATAATATAATTAAAATTTAATAACCTTTTGCTTAAATAGAGAATATATTGTACTTCCCACTTGAGATATTACCAAGCATTGCAAAATAGTCCATTTCACAGTCATAACTGGATGATTTGAAATATTTTCTATACTACTACAGATCTGAGATTTTCATGAAGTACAATGCATCAGGCATCTTTGCCAATCACAGATGCTAAAATAAGGTTCAGTACAATTTCAGGGACAGTAGTAATGGAAAATATAGGTACTTTTGACTCATTGTGGTAAAGAGAATTACATTTAACAAGATAACACTCCAATTTTTAGTAGTAAAAAAATTAAACAAATTTAAACAATCAATAATGTAAACAGAATAAAAGGGCCATTTTCAATGCTATGATTGTGTCATTATACATACTGTTGACTTGAAATAGGCCTACAGGGTGGCTTCTTCATACTGATCATCTGCATTTAGGCAAAAACAATATTGTTATCACCCTGAAGCCATAATTTTTTGTACCCTGAAGATCTTATGTTCTGAATCAAAAAAAAAACAGCAATAGCTTCTACTATTTAGCCATTGGAACTTGCATACATATATCTTTTTTTTAACATGCAGTTAAACTTTTTCTATACATTTTCCACCCAATCTAATTCGAAGCAATTCATAAAGTTGTTCCTATATTCTTTCACATTGTTAATTTGATACAGTTCTGTTTAATGTCACAGTTGAAAAGTATTTATTTTCTATTTATCAACTATTACAGCACTTTCTCCCATCTGGTCTTCTCTGAAAGACTAGTACTAAACTTTCATACTTGCATGGTTATAGACTAATAGCTCTTTATAACTGTAAATTAGATGCAGCTATAGTAGTTTGTGCCACCAAAAGTAAGATCTTGGAAATATGTGTCAGACAAGTGAAATGCACTAATGTCAAAATCCTTACTGCATTGGAATTTACATCTCTATGAATTGTCTTCTGCAATATGAATTATGCTTCACCACAGCTTTCTTCACTTTCTGCCACTTTTTAAACTTAAGTGGTACTTGAGGATTTATTTATTGAGCACAAATTCATGTGCTTAAAATGACATCTGCAACATACATTTAACAGACTAGCCAATCAGGCATTTCTGCATATTTTGCTGTAGAGCAGTATTTTCCCAACTAGGTAACTTTAAGAAGTGTGGACTTCAATTCTTAGAATTCCCCAGCCACTGTGTTTATTGGGGAAATCTGGGACTTGTTGTCCATACTTCATATACTTGTCAAATTGGAAAACCACTGCTATAAAGGAATTTATTTCTTGCCTTGAGGAGGTGGGAAAGGTAAAATGGTTTATCAGACCTGAAGAGTAGAAAGAAAAGCTCTACACTGGCCTATTGTCTTTAAAAAGGGGGCTGCAAAGGTTTTGAACAAGCTTTCAATATATATTTCAATAAAACAATAAAGTGGCAATCCTGGAATCCTTGTGATGTTTGATTTTTGACCTGGCCTACTTAAAGAGTTAACTACAATCTAATTATATTTCTCTATTTCAATGTTTTATACTTTTTTAATGCATGTATTTGTTTGATTATTGAATTTAACTGTAGAGTCTCATAGAAACTTGTTCTGAGGAATATATAAAAAAACTTGTAATTTAGAAGAAAGTTCAGATGTTGACTGAACATTACCTTCAGAGAGAGGAAGAAACCAAGTGCAACAATTTATCCCTGCTGATTGGATAAAATTTATTGTATCTACAGGGTACCAGGCTGGAGAAAGCAATATAGTAATAATTTGATGTCACACATTACACTACACAGAAGCAAAAAGTGCTGTCATGGGTTAACATGTTGTGTGAATTGTTATCTGGTTTTGTTATTTCACTGCAAAAAATCAGCACGTTCATCACTAAAGATGCACTAAAGAGTAAATGTAATCTTTTCCATTTTATTTTTGTTTAATAAAAATCACATGATATTAAAATAAGAAAAAATCCAAAGCATCAGCTAAGTCAACTCAGCTGCATTCATTCATATGGTTCTTTCAACTCTCATGATGGCAATAGAAAAGTAATTTGAGGAATGTAAATACCAAGAGAATATATTTTTAAATGAGCAGTACTTAAATACTGCTTAAATATCCGAAAAAATGTAGCTCTTACATTTCTTAAGATTATATAATAAAATTAAATAAAAAAAACAAGCCAAATGTGTTCTATATTGTGAAAGCTATAATATGAAAAGGCATCCATGGAATGGCTCCCTCCCTTTTGAAAATGACAAAAGATGATTAGATTTATGGCACTGAAGCTCCCATCCTTGCAAACACACAAAATATGATGCTTGTTCCATACATAAGAATATATATAGAATATTCAAGTAGAAGGACAGTGGTCCAAAGCAAACTTTTCCAGTTATCAGAGGATTATCTTGCTTTCTTTTCTCCATCCAACGGCTGATCTGATTCAGAATCATACAGGCATTTTTCCACACATTTTCTTGGGAACCAACCTCTGATTCTCTCCCCATCTAACAGTGATAAAGAACAGCAGAAATCAAAGACCATATCACTTGCAGATTTTTCCTTCCCGTCCCATCACTATACATTCCGAGCCCTGTCAAAAACTGTGTAAAATCTGCAAAACTAAACTCTTTTTTTTCAGTTTTCACAATTTTTCTTCAAGATGGAGGACATGACTTAGATGTTGCCTATAGTAACTACATTGCTGTAGGAGTTTATTTAGAAGCATTATGTCCTTTTAAGAACCTGAAAATAAATGAAGTTCCTAATAGCACAAACCTACAGATGTCAAACTTGAAGTATATCTCACTGATATAAATTGGGGCTTATGTCCAAGGACATATGTTTAAAACTGCACTCTTAATTATTTAATCTAGTTATTTAAATCAACTCCATTTTCTAGTTTCTAGATACACTTTTGAAATACTCTAAATTCTAAAATGCTGGAAGATGGACATATTATCTATTTGATATAATGGCATAGTACCTTTCTATCTTTAAGTAGGCAGTTGTATCACAGATTTTCCTAATTAGAATTCCTTAATCTCCTATGCTCTAAATCTGCTGAATTCATATTAAACTATTTCAGATTGGCTTTTCAAATTTTTATTATAGTTTTAATGGGTTTGGCATTTGGAACCCTCTGATAATAATGTACTTAAGACATAAAGTGCATATAAACTACATTATGAAATTGAAATAAGATATTCTAACTTTAAAACAAAGTAATTACCATTTGTTGCCAGGTCAGTAATTTTGTCGCCATACATCCAATGCCAAAAAATTTAAAAAAAAAAGAATAAAGAATTAAACAGACAGCACTTGTTTACCTTTGAAACATTTTTAAAAGTTTGAAGTAATCATATATAGAGATACTAACTTCAGTCCTCGGGTGGCTAAAATATGGTCTCTCTTGCGAAGGATAATTCTAGGCTCCTCAGTGCATGGAGTTGTGCAGAAAGTCCTTATGCCTTTTGTAACAGGGCAAAAGGCACCATTATAGTCTTCTATTGCTTGGTACCGTACCTAGAAAATTGGATTAAAAAAAGTTGCTCAAGATACTTTTCTGGTTACAAACCATTGATTATAAAATAGTAAGAAGGCTAAGAAATTTTAAAATCAGGTATTTTTGTTGGTTCATAAAATTTTGAAAGTAGATGTACTATTGAAATCTGAAGCTTTTCTTTTAGGAATGGCAGATATCAGGTGGATGAATAACAGGAGCTTTATTTTTATATATGACATCGGCAAGCAACGCAGTTATAAGCCCAAAGATGGAAAGAATATATACTTACAATGGAAGAAAGGCTTTTGAAATTAATGGACCTAGTCAAGATGGTGAAGATGTTTAAATATAATAGAGATACAAACAATAATATTTAATTTTTTAGATTTATATTAACGAGGAGCTGGAATTACATAAATCATTTTCACTTTCTTTAGATGCCAAAACTTTTTCTAACTGTTGTCACCCGCCAATTATACATTATTTTGATATTTACTGTAGGTTTTCAGGTAGAAGGTGAATTATCTGCGTTTCCCTCCCACCTCCATTTCACAATCTTATAGTAAATGTCTATGGTTAGATCCTGCACCTGTATAGAAAGGTGCTCTTGAACGTATTTTAGCAACTTTCCTTTGTGCAAGTAGAAGAATATTCAGATCAAATAAACAGAAACAAATACATCTAAGGACACAGTTGCTGTTTGTATCTTTGAAGAACCAGCAATTGCTGTTGGGAAATAGTTGTGCTATGAATTCTTATGTGTAGTCTCCTTTTGTGTGGGCCATTGTAAGCCATAGTTGCTTTTCTTCAGGAAACTATAGTACCATTGGGTTTGGGGTTCTTTTTAGTCTCTCTACTTAACATTTGTATTATTATAAGCCACTCAATCTTTATGAAAGGAACACCATCCAAATTGCAGAAATAAATAAAGTGTTTGCATGATGAAGGAAACACATGAAGAGATAAGACCTGCTTTGGAAGAATTTTGAGCAGTCAAATAAAAGCGGGGATTGAAATGTTATAAGGAAATTTGGGGTCTTTAAAAAGCCATTATGTCTCTTAGACATCACATACTCAGAAAACAACAATACTATAAAAATTTTTTTGATAGGAATGATAAGATGTAACAAGATATTATATTTGGAGTAGTTGAACATAATTTTATTTAAACATTTTATTTAAAATTATGTATACTGATGCAATGTTTCAAAAAATAAAGATTTGTACAGCATTATAATCTTATCTATCTGTCCACAACTATTTGCTCAAAGATAAAATATGAATTTCCAGAGAGCCAGTTTGATGTAGCGCAGTGGTTCTCAACCTTTTTAATGCCGCGACCTCCAACCGGTCGTAAGTCGAGGACTAAACCGGTCGTAAGTCGAGGACTAAACCGGTCGTAAGTCGAGGACTCAACCAGTCATAAGTCGAGGACTACCCAACCGGTCGTAAGTCGAGGACTTTCCCTGCCCGGGAGCGTCGCGCATGCGTGGTTCTGCCCCCTGCGCCGGCCGAGGCGTAGCTGGCAAGCGGCAGAGACGGAGCAGGCCGACCACCAGCTGGCCCAGCTCAAGGAAGGTAAGGCACCCGCCGGAAAAGGGGGAAAAATGGCAGACAGCCTTGCTTGGCGACCCCCGTGAAATGGCCGATCGACCCCAAATGGGGTCGCGACCCATAGGTTGAGAACCGCTGATGTAGCGGTTAGGGCATCAGGCTAGAAATTGAGGCCATGTCTTCTGGTCCCACTTTAGTCACAAAGCCAGTTGGCCAATCACTCAGCCTTAGAAAGGAGGCAATGGCAAACCACTTGCCCGCAAAGAGGCAATACTGACCCAAAGGCACCCTCCCCATCAAAAAGAATTATTGGGTATATAATTAGGGTGGAAAACTATAAGTATCCAGAATTTATAGACATAAAACAGCTTCTCCCGTCTGCTTGACAGCTCTGACCAACTGGAAAGCAGCTGTTTTTCCAGAGAAGTCATGACCTGTAGTGTAAAAAATGAACTATTGATCTAATTGTTTGATATAAGTTTAATATATTAGGTTCAATTCTATAAGAAGCTAGTTTAGTCAAAGGACTAGTATTATCTTTTATATAGAAAAATTATACTTTTTGCCAGGAAATGTTACTGGGATTTTAAGACTTTCAGGAGATTTGTCTAAGGGAAGTATTTGTTCAGCATTTTCAATGTATTCCATAACTGTTAGGTTAATGACTAACTAAAACAAAATCAATTAAAATGTTCAACACAGAGCAATAGCTCATAAGCTATTTATTTAGAATTTCCTCTTCTCTTTTTACTTGATTCCTCTTTCTTGCTTCGATTTCTTTCCACCAAGCTAAAGACATTCATAATATCACACACATCTTACGATAAATTACAATGCTTATATAGAAATAACAATACTTTATGCTATAATGGCATTATTATAGTATTCTATTTTAGCCAACATATTTTAGAGTTCTAAAATGTAACATGAAACCATCCAGTTCTTAACTTTCAAAATGATATTACGCTAAGATCAGGTAATATAGATGGCAATTGATGATGACTTACACTTCTCACTCTCTTGTCAGCTTTCTGTTTTAACTGCTCAATCTGAAAGATATGAAACAGCATTTCAGAACAGTACAATTTCTCAATGCATTTACTTCACATTTAATTGAAAGCACATAAAGGAAAAGCAAAGGAAAGTAGCATACTGTTAAACTGTACTGATGGCAGCCTTCTCTTAGAGGCCATTCCAGGCCATCTCCCTCTGGATTTCCAGACCATGTAAAGACTTGCTTGAAGTTATCCCATTTGCTTCCCAGGTCATAAGGAAATATAAAGACTTCTTTTGTATGATAATACTGAATGCGGTCTTTGGCCTGCAAGGAATGTATACAAATACAGTTGACAAGAAGAAAACCGTCAATCGCATGAATTAGATTTCTAACATGGAGGAACTTTTCTTACCCAACTTTCAAACTTGTGATATTTGTAGTAAAAAATTAGAAAGGTTCAACTAGGGTAAAAGAGAAATCCCAGGATCCACAGCCACATACAAAACAAAGGGAATGGAGAAAAAGATTTTTTTTCCTCACTGCAGATCACTGCAGTGAGGGGAAAAAAAAAAACCTCTTTTCCTCCATTCCCTTTGTATAGATTGCTATACTATATATTGTATGGACTGCTATACTGTTTGATATTTATTTTCTACTGGTAGAGCAGTAGCTGTAAATAGAGACAGAGCAAAACACCTCAGAACCATGATGTTTTGATAAGTGTGATGTGAGATGGCATATTTTTAACTTGTTATTTAAATACAGTGGAAAACTTTTAAAATCATACATTCTTCAGCACTCAATTAAGCCAGAATATTGTTGGTTCAATTTATATTGAGTAATAAAAAGAGACAGTTCTATTTCAGAAATACTAAATAAAAATAATTGCATTTAAATAGGAAAATACCTTCCTTTACAATGTCAAACTATTTTTGATTTCATAACCTTTCACTATGTTTCTTAAAAGCACTGTGCTGGTTCGCATAATTCCTTAAAGTTCTTTACTGTATGCTAGTGGTTGCTTTGATTATGACCTTAGAGGATATGTTCAATGTAGAAAGATATAAATAGAGAAAAACAGAGAGTCCTGTTTTTTTTTAACACCCCCCCCCCACTTTTGTGATTTTCACATCTAAATATCAGAAGGTGCTCAATTGGCAAGATTTTCTTCCATCAAGCCTTTCTCTCTTTAGTGAGTAGCTTCTTAAGATATAGAAGCTTCAATGAAGTTGAGCTGCTGCAATTGCCCAACATATAAATATGAATTTAAGAATGACAAAAGGACAGATTTATTATGAGCCAAGACAAGTTAATAATTTAAAGAACTGTTCAAGTTGGTTTACAAGTAAACCCAACATTTAAAAGGCAATATTGACCAGATATTCTTCTTGTGATGAAAGATCTTAGAAAATGTGTGAAAAGGCCATAAAATATCCTGGCTTAATTAAGTCATATAAACAGGAAAGGGTAAAAATACTGTTTATCAACATCTACTGCAGATGTCTACCTCTGTGGCATAATATATATTTAAATGAGTATGAGAATATCTACTTTTACCTTTTCCTCAATCCATGATTCTATTGAAGTTTTATTCCTTATGATGATTTTCATCTAAAAAAAATCACAAAGATTAGCTCATGACTACAATGTATGAAGTGAGGAAATAGAAACTCATTCCACAGAAATTGTATTAGATCAAAAAATGGAGAACAGGAAACCTTAACAGTACTGTTTATAATCTGAATGAATGAATCAATATAAATAAAAGTCTTTGTAGATAAACAAGTAAACATTATTTCTGGGTTCAGTACACTCAAGGGTACTTCGTATATCCACTCCGTCCATCCATTGTCCCGTTTATTTTTTATTCCTAAATTAGTTGAACCCACCAATTACCAAAATCTTGATATCATAAATAGCATGGTGGAATAATGGCAAATAAGCATAAATGCTTAAATTACATTTCCATATATGCACTAGTACTTAATTTTACTTTAAGTTTTGAGAGTGAAAATCTTAGGAAGTGATCTGGAAAGTTTTGAATTTGTAACAAACAGACATCTTATTATTATTCTATCATTCCATGCCTTTGGTTAAATAATAAGCCATATTAGGACTTCCTGCTATTCATTATTGTGCATCTGAACTCTTTTGTAACATCTGAATCTAAAGTAAACCATCCCTTCCTTCCTTTTGTTTGTTACACCAGGAAAATCCTTCCTTCCCATACTATTTCTTTCAGACATAAATCACCTATAAACTGCCTTTCTTCTGTAGTGCTGCACAACAAGCAGTGATTAGTAGAAAATCTTGGTAGTGTTCGTTTTTGTTTTTCTAGAAGAGCAGATTCAGAATTTCCGTATATAATTCTCAAAATTTGTTTTAACTTAAGGAAATGATGAGAATCATTTTAAATGAAACTACAACTGTTATTACTAGATATAACCCCAGGAAAAAATGAACAAAAATAATTTAATGAGTTGTATGCTCACAGCAGCGAAAATAAATTTTGTTCAACACTGAAAGAAAGATATAATTCCAAAAATATCTGATTGGAAATCTAAACTTGGAGAATATATAGCAATGGCAAAACTAGCATTATATATATACAAAATAAAAGTTTAATCAAATTTAAGTAAGAACTGTTCCCACATAAAATACATTACAACAACATGCCAAATATGATCATTTACAGTCTGGTTTCCAAGGAGGCCTAAAAATCTACAAATATTGTAAATTAGCAGATGTATAAAAAGAGAGAAGTTAGAAACTCAATAGTCTTCTTTTCTTTCTTGGCATTTTAATTCTTCTTAAATTTGCTTTGCCTATTCATCTATATAGGAATATGATATATACAGTAGATAGACACATACAAAGCAAAAGAGAGAGTATATACTAAGTAACGATACAGCAAAATACTAAGTAATCAGTACAAGACTGAATGAGTACAACAAATACTCTGATGCAATCTGCAGAGGTTTTTTTTTCTTTAATATTAAGTCTGGATGAAAAGTCAAATAATCTTATGCTTGTAATATTAACCTACATTGTAATTAATACTGATAGAATACTTCTTTCTCTTTCTTCTATTTGCAACCTAAGTCATCTAAACAACAGTGTCAATAATCTTCAATTACTACTGTATCAAAACAATACAATATATTGATTTACCAAAGCATAAAGAGACAAAAGGAATCTTCCGTCATTTTACTACCTTACTGAATGTCTCCTTTTTCTTAACACTGTTCTTTTCCCTCTGCTGGGATTTTCACTTGAAAAATTAGGGATAAATGTATAAAAAAAGGAAAAGGAAATCCAATTCTACTACAGGTAATCCCCGAGTTACGAGCATTCACTTAATGCTAGTTCAAAGTTACGTGATGAGTGCCCCCTAGTGTTTATGAGCAAGTCCCGAATCACTGAATTGACTCATAGCACAGATCAAATAAAGAACATTTGTAATGTTTTGTACACACATATGCACTAACCTCTAGTAACTCAAAACAAAACAAAAAATGAATCATGGTACAAATCTGTTTTCACTTCTTTGAACTGAATCACAAATTCCAATAGGATCCTAGCTGATTTCTATATCTTAACCCCTTTCTTTCTTTCTCTCTCTTTCTCTCACACCTACAAATACATATATGAAGTCTTTGTTACGAAATACACTGTAGATAAATTGGAAATTCAAATTGCTGACTGATTTTTTTTAAAAAAAAGAATCCAGAATTAAGAAAATATAAGATGCCGTGAGCTGCTGAGAACTATCCTCACCCTTTGAGCACAAGAACATCTCATCAGAATATCTCATCTGTTTCTGACTCACCTGGATAACAAACAACATGCCAACAGCTAGCGTAGTACCTAAGGCCAGTCCCAGGGCAAATAAAGAGGCAGCAAATGCAGACAATCCGAAAGGGATTATTGGGCGGGGATCCCTCTTGACTGCACTCATATCAATTTTCACAGAACTCCAGCCAAAGGAGACCTATTAAAAAGAAACAAAAGAGAAGAAAAATGGTAAGTAGGCAGCTGAACAACATTCAGTTCCTCAGCGAGAACTCTCTAGTCTTAACTGTTGATTGGTAGAAGTTCAATCTTCAATCTGAGTTGTTTCCAAAGTTTATGCCTAAGCCAAAAGTCATATATTACCTGAAGGACATACAGTATCTGATTTCTTGGAAAGATGACTTGTTAAGACACGAATAGATGACAGATATACTGGATGTACCAGACTTATAAGTAACTTTGAATTTAAAGCTAAGCATTCTGAAAAGATACAGAGAATTCAACCCAAATTCTTTCTTTAATTTGCTATATTTTTCCAATGCTTCCTAATTTTATATGATGTTTTAAAATAGAATAACCAGCTTATTGAATGGCACAATCTATTATCAGTTGACCGAGAGGCAGATGCAAAATTTGGCACAGAGTGCAATTTCTGAAGAAACATACTTTCCTACCTTTAAGGCATACTCTCCTTTCTGATTAATTAATTTAATTAAATTTTATGCCACCCATCTCCTCTGGACTTTAAATTAGCCTCGTGAAATTTATTATATAGAAGGAGGAATAATTAATCCTGGGTCAAATGAAGAAAGAATAAAAGATATAAAGCAAAAGCTACAACCTTCCAGCATTCCAGATTGTCAATATGAAGACACGTAGCAGACAAAAAAGATATATAATTTTAACTACAGCAAGTATAGCTGTTTTTCCAAAAGTGAATTCATACAATTCTGCATACGTTTTAAAGAAGCAAAACAGTGGTTTCTTACCCTGTTATAAAGCTGAGTATACACGGTCATGACAAAAATAAAAGCAGCGTGGATACAGCCCAGAGGGGCTAGCAGAAGAAAGAGTGTAAATGAGGCATGATTCTGAAATCCACAGCAGTTATTAATCCATGGACAGTGGTGGTCCATCTTCATCACACACCTAAGAAGCAAATCCAAGTTTAATACAAGCACAGTGACCAGCAGCCATCCCTATTCTCATTTATCAAATATTTCTTGACATTTAAAAGAACCCTTAATTTCAGATAATATCAACAGAGCAAAAAAGCTGTAAGTGTAACATGAGGAACATGACATAGTGTTTATTTTCACATTCTATAAAATATATGAAATGATTAAAGAAGGAGGTATTAACCTTACCCAATGAATAGTTTTTATAGCAATAATACCTGTTACATTTTCGGCAGTGATGTGAACGTGGTGCTTTGTAAGATTGGCATATTTTACAGTATTGAAGATACATGCAGTCCTGAGAATTTTCCTAAAAACAAAACAATATATATATATGTATACATACATATATGTATGTGTGTGTATATATATATACACACACAAACACATATTTACAAACTGATAAAAGAAACAAATACCTTATAAAGTTCACCTATGCATTAAAGCAGAATTTCAGGAAGTAAAACATCTATAACAATGTTCCTGCTGCAGGAACAAGCCTAATGCACAAGAAAAAAAAATCAATGCAACTGTGTAAGGGTGGTGGGCATTGATCAACAATAATCTCAGACATATGTACCACCTTGATCAATGGGTCTTACCTGCAAGCTGCCTTACTCACTAGAACTTTTTTTTCAGAAAGAAATCATGTTTTTTTTTAAAAAGAAAATCTCCTGAGGATATAAAATTCTTTTAGTTATCTGTTGCTTAGATAGGAGGCAGACTATAGTTTTAGATGTGTAATGGCAATTATATATTCAGCAAGTATCCATAAAAGTGCATAGATTAATTTCCCATTGGCTCCTATTTTTTCATTCTGCAGATCCAAGAATTAGGTTTCCTAAGACATTGTCTAACATAAAATCAGGAAGGTATGGAGTGAAATATTATTTTAATGGGAGGGGATATACCATATTGTTATTTGCTTACTGGTTTCCATCCAATAGGAACATAACCAGGGCCAACAAACATGGCATTGAAGTAGTTATAAAGGATCATAATAGTCCAGTTGATGAGCATGATGAAATTAATACTTCCTCCTGTTGTATCCAAAGGCCAGTACCACAGGACTGCATCGATGATAGCCATGGCAGAACATATTGCTATTACACTAAGGGCTATGATTGGCCCCCAGTGGCATAGTCTTTTCAGTTCATAGAGATTTTCAAATCTAATGATTGAAAAAAACATTCCCATTCTGCATTCAAGTTGATTCTTATTTCATAAAATTTCTTTCAGGAACACATTTCCACTTGTCATAAATTTTCATCTCTACTTGAATGGTAAGATGTCCAAACACTAATTTCGAAGTAGCTGGATTTAAGCCATTCCTCAAATTTGAAAGAATCATCAACTTCAGGAGTGCTTCATGAGTTTTCTTTTAAAACCTGAGCAAAAAAAGAAAAAGAAAAAAAAGGAAGACAATTTCCAACCACAGCAACTACGAAATAAACATTTTTTATTAAAAACAAATTGGTTTGGAGCAACAGTCCATGATTCACTGACACAAAAATGGGCTATCCAGCAGCCCACTCCCTGTTTTCTTTCTGTCATATGTTTGGCTCTAATCCTCATTTTGTGTGTGTGCGTGCATTTTTTTTAAAAAAAAAATCAGTTGATATCTGAACTGGAAAATTGATTCCAAGTTTGTTCAAAGTCAGATTAACTGATAAATATTAACAAGAGTATATTTTTTCTGTGGACCATCTAGTTAATTATTTTGTTTACTGCAGGCAAACGACATAAACAAGGTTTATGAAGCAAATCCTGAAGAAATAATTTTAAGTGTCACGTTTCAAATACTTTTCAGTGAAGCGTCAGTTCCTCATTCTAGGCAACAACCCAAGAACTAATTTCAAATGCAAGTAAGAATTTAGATATGTTTTTTTAAATGTATATGTCACAAAGTAGGAGAAAGGTTCAAAAAGTGTTTGTGATACTACAGTGAAGTTATCTCTTCATGTGGGAAATTACCTGGGCTAGCAGAAGTCACTGTTTTTGTCTATTTGGACATCCCCCCCCCCTCTAATGCAATAAAGTAATTATGTGTCTGTTAAGCATCTGAAAATGTTTTCCACTACAAAAATGTTTTGATTTTTCACAAAGGAGAGAACAACCTGGTAGTCTACCATTAACTAATAATCCAAAGTATTTATTTTAGCCTCTTTACAGATTGATTAATTCAATAACATTCCAAGTAAGTTCAAGGACAATAGGATAACATATGGACTCTGTGATACAAGTATTGCTGTGAGAAATAACTATTTGCTATATCTTCCTGGGAATACAGGTAGTCTTCAACTTACAATAGTTCATTTAGTGACAATTTGAAGTTACAATGATGCTGAAAAAAGTGACTTAGGATCATTTTACACACTTACAACCACTGCAGCCACCCCCATGATCAAAATTCAGATGTGTGGCAATTGATTCATATTTATGATGGCTGCAGCATTCTGGGATTATGTGATACCCACATAATTTGACAAGCAAAGTCCATGGGGAAGCCAGATTCACTTAACAACTGTATTACTAACTTAACAACTGCAATTATTCACGTAACAACTGTGTGCAGGAACGGTCGTAAAATGGGACAAAACTCACTTCACAAATGTCTCCCTTAGCAACAGAAATTTTAGGCTCAATTGGGATCGTAAGTTGAGGACTACCTGTATTTAAACAACTCTGATGTGGTCAATTATACCTCACCACTGCTCTACGGCCACAAAAAAAAAAAGATTTGATTTGCAATAAACCCGTGCCCACTTTTCCACATTACCGCTGAAGTTAATTTATGCACGAACGCTTATATAAGTAATTGAAACAACGGGGACCACCCCCGGGAGTGAAATCCTTCCCCGCGAATTAACACAGCAAAAGCATTGTCTGTGCTTTGAGCATCGCAATACAAACGACAGCACGGAGTTCGTTCCCTCTTCTATATATAACACCTAAGTACAAAGAGGCTGCAACAGGCAATAGTTCAACAGGTGAAGCGGAGCTACGTCCGCTTCCCTATAGAGAAAAGGCGGCAGCTACCGGACATCTGCCTATTTCTCGCAATTTCAAGAACAAGGAAACCAGAAACGAAAGCCCTCCTCCTCCTCCTTTCAATGGGAAAAATAAGTGACTTGGCGAAGACTCAGCAGGCAAAGTAAAAGCAAAGGCTGATCACGACACCGCCTCTCTGCCATCCTTTCTACGCTTAGAAGGGTCTGCAATTCCTTTACTGCGACCGCAGTCCAGGCAGGACATCGCGGCTTACCAGCGACGAACCCCAGCCTGCTTTGTCCCAGATTTTCCCCCGCTGACTTTTCTTCCGACAGAGCCGGCAAGGGAGCCCCCGCCGTCCGCCTTATTTGCCGCTCTTTCAGCGGCTCCGTGCTCTACTTCCCCGGGACACCTTCACAGAACCCGGACATGCAATCCTTCCGTTCCGCCCTGACTTTGGAAATGCCCTCAATCGTCTGGCAAGTGCCCTGGGAAACACTTCCCCCACGGACAAGAACACATTGCGGATGGGAAAAAAAAATAAAATCTTTCAATCCAAATGTTTCTACGGGGTCCACAATTCTTATTTGCTTAGCAGCGAAGCTCCGACAAGACGGTCGGTCCTGCCTCTTCTATCCCTTGCCTTGCTCGAAAGATAACAATGGTGTGAATGCCGTCGACTCCCCAGCATCAGGAAAAGGCGCCGGAGGGTCCGTGGGACGGGGCAAACAGGATAGCGGAACTTCGGCTCGCGTCAGAAGCACCCGGGAAGAAATGGTCCACGGGACTCAATCCGGAAGTCTGGCTGTGACAGGAGGAGCGGTTAGCGGCTGAGTTGAGAGTTTGGTGTTTCGGCGGCTCGCGAAAGGCGAGGATTTCTTCCTCTGCTTCCGTTCGCGGCGGGCAGTTTGGCTGTTTGGACCTTTAAGTCTTGCCTTGTCTTCTGCTTGCTGCCGCCATCATGTCCTCTGATTTCGAGGGCTACGAGCAAGACTTTTCGGTTCTTACCGCTGAGATCACGAACCGCATCGGAAAAGTCCCCAAGTTGATAGGAGGTGAGTGATGGCGGTGATGGTGGCTGGTTCAGCCCTCTGCATCTCCCCGGCCGAGGTCACTGCCTGCTGCCTATCTGTCACGATTGTGGTCCTTTCGTGCCTTGATGAGATAGTTAGTCTGATATTAGGGGACTGGAGGCTAAAGCATATAAGGAACGGCTGCTGGAATTGGGCATGTCTAGTTTAACAAAGAGAAGGAAGGGGGGGGACATGATAGCAGTGTTCCAATATCTCAGGGGCTGCCACAAAGAAGAGGGAGTCAAGCTATTTTCCAAAGCGCCTGGAGGCAGGACAAGAAGCAACGGGTGGAAACTAATCAAGGAGAGAAGCAACCTAGAACTAAGGAGAAACTTCCTGACAGTTAGAACAATTAACCAGTGGAACAACCTGCCTCCAGAAGCGGTGAATGCTCCAACACTGGAAGTTTTTAAGAAGAAACTGGACAGCCATTTGTCCGAAATGGTATAAGGTTTCCTGCCTGAGCAGGGGGTTGGACTAGATGACCTTCAAGGTCCCTTCCAACTTTACTATTATTATTATTATATTCTAGGAAGAACCCTGCTGGTCAGGACCGATGCCTTTTTTACCCCAGGATTCTGTTTTTTCACAGTCGAGATGTATGGGATGCTCACAAGAAGGACGGCTCCTCCTCGGATGATAAGTGGGATGGCTTCCTGGGATAGCCTTTTCTTTAATTCCCTGTTGTTTCTTTTCCTCCGGCTTAAGCTAAGGTTGCCGATCCTATGACTCAGCCTACAGTAGCTGAACTGGATAGGGTGGTTTCTTGTGGAAAACTTTTAGGATTTTTGAAGTCACAACCCATAAGCCTCCTAGGGGCAACGTATTTGTACAGCGATTGAGACCAAACACATTGGTCAAAACAGGGTGTAGCGCAGGAGAAAAATGGGATTTAGTACAATTTGGAAACCATTCTATGTTATATCCTTTTCAGTATCATTTTGAAGTTTAGATCGCTTTGTTATTTTTTTGTTCCAATTTCCCTTCGTGATTAGAGTTTTACTTTGCTTTGTTATGAATAAAAATCTATGCTTCAGAAATAGAGTATAAGCTAAAGATTCAAAGTGAGCAATCATTCTTTCACAGACTGTCCTGGCAAATGCACACTTAACAGTTACCTAGTGCCAAACACAAAATATGTACACAAAGGAAAGATGCCCTTATTATGTCCTTAAATTTGCAACTTTCTGATAGCTACCTAGATACGTCCAGGCAATTTTCTGGAAATAGTGCAGCCATGCAATTTTTTTTATCAACAGTGTGATTTGCCATTGCTTGCTTTTGGAATATCTTTCAACTTCCCAGTCTCAGCCTATAAGTGTGTAATTTTTTGTAGGTCTTCCACAAAATAGTAGCTTAGCTCAATCCGTTGCTTCTAAGCTCTGGCAAAATTGCCAGATTTCAGTACTGCCAAGTCGTTACTAAACATGGCTCTCAGAATAGAAATATTGTTCAACTAAGCATCTATTATTTTGTTTTAGATGAGAAGAGACAGTTGGTTTCAAATGTGGAAAAGCAGCTGGAAGAAGCAAGGGAGTTGGTAAGTTGTATAAATAGTGTATTGTGGATACTAAAGGACTGAAACTGGAAAGAGTTTTACTTGCATGTGTTGATAACCTTGTTAGTCTAAATTAGTAGGAATTTGATAGTATCTTTTCAGGCTAACACATTTTTATTAAAAAAAATATTTTCATGGACTGAGGCCGTGATGGCTCAGCAGTTAAAGATGCTGAGCTTGTCAGCTGGAAAGCTGAACGCCTGGGTTCAAGAGTTGTACCATGCAACAGGGTGAGCTTTGGTTATTTACCCCGGTTCCTGCTCACCTAGCACTTTGAAAGCATGTGAATGCAAGTAGATAAATAGATACCACTTTGGTGGGAAGGTAACAGCGTTCCATGGACCTTGACATACAGTCTTGATGGCCACATCGCCACAGAAATGTCTTCAGACAACGCTGGCTCCTTCAGTTAAGAATGAAGATGAGCACCACTCCCTTGAGATGGACATGACTGGACATGGGAAAATTTTACCTTTAGTTTTATAATAATACTTTATTGTAACTTTTTAAAAGACTTTATGTTTAAGCTATTTCTGAAATAGCTGAGATCTTGAGTTTCAGGCCTTCGGAAAGTTTCAAGCTATTTCAGGGCTTTAAAAGCACATTTGAAACACATTACAATTATTAATTAAGATGGTACTGGTAATTATCATATCTGTAACCTGCGACTGCATAAATACCCTGTCTTCCTTTCGCTTCCCCCTGTATCATCCCAATTGGAATCCTGCACTCTTTGCACCTGATGAAGTGAGCTATGACTC